TCTCGAGGGCGTCGTCCATAGGCGACTCCCATGCCGACCAGCTAGCCGACCCCCTCGCCGACCGGCTCGCCGACTCCCGCACGGACCAGCTCGCCGACTCCCGCGCCGACTCGCTCACTGGCTCCAGCACCGACCAGATCGCCGACTCCCTCGCCGACCTGCTCACCGACTCCCGCGCCGACCAGCTTACCGATTCCCGCACCGACCACATCGCCGGCTCCCGATCCGACCAGATCGCCGACTCCCGCGATGACCAAGTCTCTGAGGCGCTATTCAGAGGCGACGGCCACGCCGACCAGCTCGCCAGCTCCCTCGCCGATTAGTTCACCGACTCCCGCACCGTTCCGCTCTCCGACTCCCGCACCGACTGGCTCGCCGACTCCCGCACCGACCAGATCGCCGACTGCCACGCCGACAAGCTCGTCGTCTCCCGCACCTAGCGGCTCGCCGACCCCCGCGCCGAGGGGCTCGCCGACTCCCGCACTGACCTGCTCGCCGACTCCCGCACTGGCCAGCTCACCGACTCCCGCACGGTCGAGCTCACCGTCCTGCTCGCCGACCCGCTCACTGGCTCCAGCACCGACCAGATTGCCGACTCCCGCGCCGAGGGGCTGGCCGACTCCCGCGCCGACCAGCTCACCGACTCCCGTACCGACCACATCGCCGGCTCCCGCGCTGACCAGATTGCTGACTCTCGCGTTGACCAGTTCTCTAAGGCGCTACCCAGAGGCGACTGCCGCGCCGACCAGCTCGCCCAGCTCTCTCGCCGACCAGTTCGCCGACTCCCGCATCATTCAGCTCGCCAGCTCCCGCCCCGTCCAGCTCGCCGATTCCTGCATCAACCAGATCGCCGACTGCCGCGCCGACCAGCTCGCCGACTCCGGGGCTCGCCGACTCCCTCGCCGACCAGCTCGCCGACTCCCGCACTGACCAGCTCACCGACTCCCGCGCAGTCCAGCTCGCCGATCCGCGCGCCAACCAGATCGCCGACTCCCATGCCGACCAGCTAGCTCACTGACTCCCGCACGGACCAGCTCGCCGACTCACACGCCGACTGGCTCCCCGACTCCAGCATCGGCCAGTTCACCGACTCCCACGCCGACCTGCCGACGTTGAACAGTCTCGCACTGAAATGTGGTGCGACTTACTTTCTCCGCGGATAAGAGAGGGCACCAATCCTGGCAATGACACTGGGCACGGGGGGAGGGCGGACAAGTTTTGCCCCCCTTCTGGCTGTCATGGAGTTGGTGCGTGCGTGCTACTCACGGTGCGCAGTGCTGTCCCGGCCGAGTGGCCGATAGTATAATAGCGACGCCAGCATTGCCGCCATTACCGACACCAGCATCGACACCATTATTGACACCGGCACTGACACCGGCGTCGACACCTCATCCGACGCTGGCGCCCCAGCGGGCGTCGGCATCCGCATCGACACCAGCGCTGGCATGGTCTGAGACCAGCGTGGTTGCGAGCCTCTGAGTGTTATGTTCCTCCTTCTTCCTTCCTTCCTCCCGCCCCTCTGCGGTCCTCGTTCTGTGCGATCTTGCTTGTTGCACGCACGCATTATGATACATGTATGTACCGTCCTCTGGCCCGCCACCTCTTGGTTTCTCCCTCTCCCGTTCTCCCCCTGGCGCTGTTTTTGTTGCGGCGTCCGGCTGTGTACTCAGGAAGTCTAAACGTTGACCAGGGGCGTTTCGGCCACGCTCGCAGGACTGCTTGTCTAATTTTGCGTGCAATGCGTTGTACTGCATGCGTTTCCGCCCCTCCTCCTCCTCCTCCTCCTCCTCCTCCTCCTCCTCCTCCTCCACTGGCCTTCTGTTCTCCGCGCTCCCTCCTCTTCCGCCTTCGCCTTCTCTTGGGCATCGCCACGCGAAGATCAGAATGTGTTGCCATTCGAGGTTTCACCTCCTCGCGCCTGTTTTGGACACATGCCCGGGCAATAATTGTCACGGGTAGCGTTTGCCTATCCTGGCCGCGCGGCCGATGCAGTCTCGCGGTGTATCTAGCGTGCTGACATTACGGGGGATAGATTGCACCAGTAATTTGCCCAGTCTTCAGGAAGAAGAATCCGCACAGTGCCTGCGTCAAAAGCAGTTTCTTGACGCATGGAATCACAGCCAGATGATCGCGCTTCCTCCCTTGCGCCTCCTCCTCCTCCGCCCTTGTCCTCCGCCTTTTTCAAAACGAACACCGTGGAACAACGATTGGTAATTAGGACAGGCGAGATATGCTGCGGAGGTCCGTGGATGAAATACGCAAGCAACGAAGTCCAGTTACGACCATACTTGTCGTTATTGGGGAGCTCGAGTGGGGATAGTTTGACGGTCGTCGCAGTGTGGATGAGTATGTGATTCCTGCCCTGGACGTCACGATATGATTGCAACTCGGGTAGTTGTGGTCCGAGGCTGGCGACTAGTATCGGGTAGTCCTGGTCGTTGCGGGAAGCGCCGAGGAGGTGGGGAATGGTGATGAGAGCCGGAGGAGGAAGAGGCGGAGGATAAGGAGGACATGAGCAGGAGGAGCCAGAAGGAGGTAGACACCCATTGCTCAGACGACCGACCCGAAAGCGCTTCGCATTGCACCCGCAGCTGATGCCGAAGCCAACGATGAAGTGCACAGAAAACTGAACAGGGCCCACACTGCAGGTTCGTTTGGCAGCAAATCGTTGAGCGGCGCTGCGGCCTCTTCCGAGCGAGCGGGTGGATGAGCAGGAGCAGGGGCAAGAGGGCCAACAGCAGGAGGAGGAATAGAGGGACGGGGGGAGAGGGACGGGGGGGGGTAGAGGAAACGTCGAAGGGGAACGAGCGAAGCATTGTTGTTGGAGGCAGGGCGGGAGGGAGGAAGGGGATGATGAGGAAAGGGAGAAGATGAGCGAGGAGCGAGGCAAGAGGAAACGTTACAGAAGGAGGAGGAGAAGAAGGGGAGCAGAGGAGGGGGAGGAACAGTAATTGGGGAGAGAACGGGCGAGGGATAAAAAAAGGCTGGGATGGAAGGAGGACGAGAGATGAGAGTTGACATAAGGTGGGAGGTGGGGAGCGATAGGGTGAGGGAGGAAGAATTGGAGGACGACGCCGAGGAGAAGCAGGAGGAGGAGGAGGAGGAGGAGGAGGAGGAGGAGGAGGGGAGCTATACGTTTGAGCCATATGCGTGTAAGCGTGTGCATATATACATATATTATACATATAACGGGGGACCGAGTCTGGGGGCCGGGGGCCGGGACCCCGACCACAAATGTGGGGCCCAGGGCCTTGGCCCGCCTCTGGGAGGCTTAAAATCGCCCCGGGGAGCCCTCAGACAGCAATCCCGACGGACCCAGGCGGTCTCGAGACACATTGATCCTCACTGTTTTTTTCAATGTTGTTTTGCATTCTCGCTGTTTCGTGTTTCCGGCGCTAAAGCACCGCCCAAGAGGCTCCCCAAACCGCTCCAAGACGGCCCAAGAGGCCCCCAAGAGGGCCCCGAGACGGCCCGAGAGAGCCCCGAGACGGCCCCAGAGCCGCCCAAGACGGCGCAAGAGGGTCCCAAGAAGGCCCCAAGAGGGGCCCAAAAGAGGGAACGCGAACTGAAATCTCAAGCTCTCCGCCCCAAGATGCCCCCCAAGCGGCCCCAAGATGCCCCCAGGAAGCCCCCAAGAGGCCCCAAGAGGCCCCCAAGAGGCCCCAAGAGGCCCCCAAGAGGCCCCAAGAGGCCCCCAAGAAGCCCAAAAGAGGCTCCAAGAGGCCCCAAGACGGCACCCAAAAGGCTTCAAAACTCTTTCTAAGAGGCCCCCGAAGACATGCCAAGAAGGTCCCATGACGACTTCAAGAAGCAGTCCAGGATGCTCCGAGGAGGCCCCAAGAAGCTAGCTAGAACTTGAGCGTGAAGCGCGCGCTGTGAAGCGCGCGCGACGTGTGCGTGTGCGTGTGCGTGTGCGTGTGCGTGTGCGTGTGCGTGTGCGTGTGCGTGTGCGTGTGCGTGTGCGTGTGTGTGTGTATGTGTGTATGTGTGTATGTGTGTGTGTGTGTGTGCGGTAAGGCCCAAGCCAAACGTGAGGTGCCCCAGCCAGGAGACCGCTTCGTTTCGTGCGTGGCGCGCGTGCGGCCGAGGCGAAGCGAAGCTGCGCGAGCTCGTCCACCGGCCCAGGCCAAGTCAGACAAGAAAGGGGCATGTTTCGGCCGTCTGTGTGTGTGTCGACTCGTGAATTGAATTACGCGTTCGATGCAAATCAGAGGTGATGTCCCCACCCAACGTCCTTGTCCCACAAAGGGTGGTCCACGCGATAGCGGCTATCATACTTCTGGCGGTTGAAGATACGCTCTGGAAGTCCCCATCCAAGAACCGGCGAGAGTCCGTCAATTTACCCCCTCTTATTAGTGGAGGAAAGCAGCGGCGAAGAGGGCGACGCGGAGGAGGAGGACGGGAAGGAGGAGGCGGAAAACGAGGATGTGAATGAGGAAAATGACGAGCAGGATGAGGAGGAGGTGGAGGAGGAGGACCAGGAAGAGGAGGAGGAGAAGGAGGAGAAGGAGGAGGTGAGCGCAGCTTGTGAGAGCGAGCGGAATCCGCGAGCGCAACGGCGAGGGGGCCCAGGAGGAGGCGAAGGGGGAGGAGGACAAAAAGAGAGGAGAGGATACGCAGCAATTGCGTTTTTGCCAGGGGTCGCCATGGCGGGCCCCCAATCCGAAGACAACATAACAGAGGGGAGGAGGGAAAGGGGTGAGGAGAAGGGGTGGGAGGAGGGAAGGAAGAGGAAGGGAAAAGGTCGGAGGAGGAGGAACGGAGGGAGGAGCAGGAGCAGCAGGAGCAGCAGCAGGAGCAGCAAGGAGAAGAAGGACGAGAAGGAGGGAAAGCAGGAAGGAGGGGAGGAGGAGAAAAACACGAGTCGTCCTCGTCGTCTTCGTTGTCGTCCTCGTCGTCGTCCTCCTCGTCCTCCTCGTCCTCCTCCTCGTCCTCGTCTTCGTCCTCGTCCTCGTCGTCATCCTCGTCCTACGTCGTCGTCGCTGTCGCCCTCCGTCGAGGCCAAGCCCGGAGTGTCGGCGCACAGCCCGCTGAGGAAGCGCTCGCGCGGGGGGCGGGAAAGGGGCCTCTCCTCGCGGGCCCCTCGCCGGCGGCGCCGGAGGAGGACGAGGACGACAGCGAGGACGACGAGGACGAGGACGAGGAGGACGACGACGCGGACGAGGACGAGGCCGACGAGGACGAGGAGGACGACGAGGAGGAGGACGAGGACGACGACGACGACGACGACGAGGACGACGAGGAGGACCCCAAGCAGGACGGCGAGGACGACGACGAGGACGACGACGACGACGACGACGACGACGGCGACGAGGACGACGACGACAATGATGACGAGGACGACGAAGACGACGACGACGAAGAGGAAGATGACGGCGGCGGCGGCGGCTGCGACGGCGACGGCGACGACGGCGGCGGGACGTTTTTGGTTATTGCGGTGCCCGAGGGACCCTTACTTGGGGCCTTGGGTTCGTTTTCACTTTGGGGCCCTTCCTGGGGCCGTCTTGGAGCCCTCTTGGGTCATCTTGGAACTCTCTTGGGGGCCTCTTTGAGCAGTCTCGGGGCAGCCTTGGGGGCATCTTTCCACCCGCTTCTGGGCCTTGGGTTCCCCATACAATGGTTTCCCATCCAATGCCATTCCTCCTCCCTCACTACCCCGCGTCTGCTTTTCTGTCTCACTCGCGTCCCCATCCTCTCCTTCCCTTCTGCTCTCCTCCATTTTCCCACCTCCTCTCATTCCCATCTTCACTGTCCATCCCGCCTCACCATGTTCACCCCTCCTTCACGTCCAACGTGCAGGCAGAATGAGAGAGAGGTAGTTCAATCAAAACAGCGATCGCTCATGGTTACAGTTTTCGCCATCACCGTTATCATCGTGTTGTTTCTGCTCCTTCCCTCATGTGTCCTCTTCATTTTCCTCTTCCTCTTCCCCGTTCTCGCCTGAATTGCCCCGCGAACCCGTCCCCGTCCTCCTCAGATTTGTTCGGGGAGGCTCTTCCGAGGCGAGCTTCCGGAGGACCTCGCGCAAGTTGTTTACGAGCTCCTTGGGCGCCTCTGGATACGTCCCTAGCGCCTTTGGGCGGCCTCTGGGGGGTTCCTCGGGCCACCATGCCGCGAAGCGTGGTCTCGGGTCACAGTTTGAATGCTTCCGGACGGCGTCTTGGGGCAATTTAGGGCCGTCATGGGGCCTTTTGTGGGCAGTTTCTGAGCTTTCTTGGGCCGTCTTGGGGCTCTCTGTCAGTGTAAGGAAGCTTGTTTGGTCGTCCTGGAGCCGAGCTGGAGCCCCAAATCATACAAAGCGTGCAGGAAATCATTTTTTTCTGCGTTTCAATAGCCTCTGGGGGTGATTCTTTGGCCGTGGAGTGTGGGGCCGCTGGAGGCCAGCTTGGACCGTCTAGGAGGTCTCTTGGGACCACCGCCGACCCATTTGCTCGGCTTGCTGAGGGTGCGCCCAGGAGCCCCGGACGCCGGGGATCCCGCCTCGGGGGGGTGTCCGCAGAGTCCAAGATTAGACCAACTGAAGAAGTTGAGCATGTCTATATATATACACACATACAAGCATAGATGATTCCCTACACATACACATACACATACACATACAGTTACATTTACATTTACATGTACACAAACACATACCTATTTATATACATACACACTTACGTACTTACATACGTATATATACATAAATACATACGTCCGTACATACACGCATACATACTTACTGACTTACTAACTTTCATTCATTCATACATACATGCATACATACAAACATACATACATACCAGATGTGTCGGCTGTGCGCGGTGGCGCGAAACCCCCTTCCCCCAAGGTTTCGTGTGGGAATCGTGCCAGTTGCGGCGGGTGCGGCCGATGACCCAAAACCCTTTTCCTCCCCCCTTCCCAGGGGTTTCGTATCGGGCGCACCCGGTGCCGCCGACTTTCGGAGGTTCCGAGCACTGAACATCTCAGGGGGTGGTTGCAGTTTTTTCTTGGGGGTGCCGTGAATCTCGGGGCTTCCGTACCGGCCCGCACTAGCGGTGCCGCCAGCACGAAATCCCGAGGATGAGCGATCCAGGGGGGGGGTCGCTCCGCCCAAAGCACCGCCGACATATGTCACTTCGGTGCAGAGAGAAGGGCAATCCCCGTGAGGACAAGTAAGCGGAGACCAGACGTGGTGTTCGTCAACAATGGCCTCTGGCTCGGCTGGGGGGGAGGGCGGCGCATCGCAATGCAGGATGATGATTCAGAAATTACTGGGGGTCGTGTTCACGCGGCGGCGCCCAAGATGATGATTAGAATTAAGTCGGGCCTGTCCCTTTACAGGAGGGATACTCAAAAATGGGAAAAGATAGTGTGGGGACGATTTGTTAAGCATGTTTTTGCTATTTTGAATTTGTTTTAGTCCAAAATCCGCCTGTAGGGGGACGTACCCGACCAAAGATGAGAAAAACGCCCCACCCGCCGGGAGACTGCCTTGTAATCGTTCCCTCCCGCCCACCTCGGGCGAGCGCCTGCACGGTCGACGGGCCAGTCGGAGCCGAAGCGAAGCGGAGGCCAAAGATCCGAAAACTATGTTTAAGTCGGGCCTGCCCCTCTACAGGAGGAATATTCAAAAATAGTAAATTACCCTGCGACGTACCCAACCCTTATTATACATGTGGCCTTATACTCAGGACCACTCAATGCTGGTTGGCATTATGAAAGACCCGCAGTGCGCAAGAAGAGCACTCAGGAGTGAATTCAGAAGAGAGCATCAAGACGAGGAACAGCAATCATACAAAATGGAAGCACATGGGCCTTGAAGGAAACACAACAGCGGGGGGTGGCGAGGGCTAAACCAGAACATCGGTTTAACTCCGCAACTCGCTGCGCTGAAAGAGGCAAATGCATGAGGTGCATAACGGAGCGGAGACCCACCCAAAAGTGGAGACAAAAGGGCGCGGCAGCGAACCCAAAGAAAATAACCCAAAAGTGGAAGCAAAAGGTCGCGGCCTCGAGGATAAGCAGGAGCACCCAGAAGTAGACGCAGGAGGGCGCGGTAAAAAAAGTACCCATTAGATACAGAAGAGCATGGCAGCGAAAGCAACGACCTCCCCAAGAAGTGGAGACAAAAATGGCGCGGCACTGGCAGTAAGATAAAGCACCCAAAAGTGGAGACAAAAGGGCGCGATAGCGAAAGCAATGATAAGGTGCCGAAAAGTGGTGACAAAACGGCGCGACAGCGAAGGCAACCAGAAGCACCCAAAAGTGCACAAAAGGGCGCGGCAGCGAATGTGTCCAGACTCACCTAAAAGTGGAGACAAAATGGCGCGGCAGCGAAAAAAAAGAGAAGCATCCAAGAGTGGAGACAAAAGGACGTGGAGAGCACGAGCCCCGGGCGGTTCTGCGCACTCCACGTAGATGGCACGAGCCCCGCAGGGTTAAGCGCCACAGGCACGAGCCCCGAAGGGTTCAGCGCCACAAGCACGAGCCCCGAAGGGTTCAGCGCTCAAGATGTCGAAAACACGAGCCCCGAAGGGTTCAGCGCTCTCAACGCGGTTGGCACGAGCCCCGAAGGGTTCAGCGCCAAAGGCACGAGCCCCGGAGGGTTCAGCGCCAGACAAAATGATAAGACAAAGGAGGAGAAGGAGGAGGCGGACGGCGCTCTGGGCGTCCCCTACGCCTTCCGACAAACGGCTCCAAGACCCCAGGTCCGCCCAAACATTGCTCCAGCTCGCACCCATACTCGTCGTCGTCGTCGTCGTGGTCAATGTCGTCGTCGTCGTCGTCGTCGTCGTCGTCGTCGTCGTCAATGTCGTCGTCATCGTCGTCCTCGTCGTCGTCGTCCTCGTCCTCGTCCTCGTCGTCGTCGTCGTCGTCACCGCCGTCCCTGCCTCCTCCTCCTCCTCCTCCTCCTCCTTCTCCTCGTCCTCCTCCTCCTCCTCGTCCTCCTCCTCCTCCTCCTCCCACCTCCTCCTTCCTCCCCCTCTTCTGCCACTTCCAGGTGTGGGAGCCGCCCAGGGGACCTCAAGGCTCCACGCCCACCTCCAGAGCGCACGCTCGCCTCCTGCGCGAACGCCCGCCTCCGAGGCGAACGCTCGCGCCCAAGAGGCCCCCGAAAGCCCCTAAGAGGCCTTAAGACGACCCCCCAAAGCTGTTTCCAAGAGGCCCCCAAGCCGCCAACCACGAGATCCCCACGAGCATTCCAGTGGCCCCTGGCCCACCACCCAGTCGCCGCGTGGGACGTACCTCCGCTGGGCCTCCCAGGAGCCCACGAAAGTGGCGACAGTTGCGCAGATCGCAAGCCCCCCAGGGGGCGGCGAGGTACCGAGGTGATCTGCGTGGGACGTACCTCCGCTGGGCCTCCCAGGAGCCCACGAAAGTGGCGACAATTGCGCAGATCGCAAGCCCCCCTGGGGGCAGCGAGGTACCGAGGTTGCCTCCCAGGAGCCCACGAAAGTGGCGACAGTTGCGCAGATCGCAAGCCCCCCAGGTGGCGATGACGTACCGAGGTGATCCGCGTGGGACGTACCCCCGCTGGGCCTCCCAGGAGCCCACGAAAGTGGCGACAGTTGCGCAGATCGCAAGCCCCCCAGGGGGCGGCGAGGTACCGAGGTGATCCGCGTGGGACGTACCTCCGCTGGGCGAAAGTGGCGACAGACGCGCAGATCGCAAGCCCCCCAGGGGGCGGCGAGGTACCGAGATGATCCGCGTGGGACGTACCTCCGCTAGGCCTCCCAGGAGCCCACGAAAGTGGCGACAGTTGCGCAGATCGCAAGCCCCCCAGGGGGCGGCGAGGTACGGAGGTGATCCGCGTGGGACGTACCTTCGCTGGGCCTCCCAGGAGCTCACGAAAGTGGCAACAGTTTCGCAGATCGCAGACGGCACGAGAGAAGAGGAGAAGGGACCACAGGAGACAGGAGATAAGGAGGGGAGGAGGAGAGGAGGAGGAGGAGGAGGAGGAGGAGTTGGAGACCACACTGCTCTATTCAAAAGAGTACCCACCACCACAGGAGGGTTT